TCTGTTTTCTGGCCAACAGTCCACCAAATAAAATTGTAGGACTGTTTGTAGGACAATGCTATGTACAATTGGGCTGCCCCGTTTACCTACAAATAGGCACTACTTCACAATAAATACAGTGAATACTATGAAGTGCTTTGAGAATGGCATCCTGACATGAAAGGTGCTGTACTAAATGCAAGGATTATAAAGGATTATTGTTATCATTCAATACGGACAGAGACAAAAAATGTGGACTATTTGACTGTGGGGGTTTCAATCAAAGCCCATTCTGCCCAATGTGCACTAGTTCACTTTCTATCAGGAGTAAATGAATTGCAATCAGCAACAGAAATCGCCCTCCTGCACTAGGTTCTGTAATCCTATCACCCTCATCCTCATCCATCTCCACTGGCTTCCCATCACTCAGAGGATACAGTTCAAGATCCTGGTCCTCACTTTCAAAGTCCTCCATGGCCTTGCTCCCCCCTACCTCTGTGATCTCCTAACCACCTACTAACCTGCCCGCTCCCTCTGCTCAGCGGACTCCGGTCTATTTCACATCCCCTGCCTGGCAACCCCACCTTTGGCGGGCAGGCCTTCAGCCACTACCCCCACCCTCTGGAACGCCATCCCACAGTCCCTCCATCTCACCCCTCCCTTGCCTCCTTCAAGACCCACCTCAAGACCCTCCTGTTTGACCATACCTTCGGTCACCCTCCTTCCCCTCCATTGCCCTCCACCCTCCCCAATCCCGACCCTCAGCTCGGGTCTGAAAAACTGATTGTCCAGTGCCTTGGGACGTCCTCCCGATGTGAAAAACGCGACACAAATGTAATTTTGTGGAATTATTGTACTGAATGATGCAAATAATCTACATGCAATACTGAATGTAAATGTGATTAGAATTTGGCTGCAGCTGATATAAAGTGCATGGCTTTTTCAGCAAAATCTATTTTTATAATGTTATCTTGCATTTCCACAATACAAATCCCTGTTTCACAACAGCACTGGACGCAATGATAAATCCTTTGTGAAAAAACATCACACCCAGTGAAAGATTTAGATATGATTTATGTGTCCATTCTATCTATGCACACAGCAGATGTTATACCTAGGATGATCAAGCAGGATATTGTTGTTAGGTTGGAAGAGTTGTGAGGGGGAGGAGAGTATAGAGGGTTACTTTCTCCAAGATGCCAAATATATGTAAGATACTTATTACCAATATTTGTTGCTATTTGTTGCTCTGTGACACTTTACCAAATGTATATCAAATGCTCACTCCCTCCCCTCTTTCAAGTTATGTCTCAAAGGTTGCCTCTTCGCCCATATTTCCAGCTAAAGTGTATCTTTAGGAAACATGTTGGGGAGGGGTGGAAGGGCTTGTTTCACCCACAAAATATACAGCGAATCCACTTTACAGTATATCTGGTGAGGCATTTTGAGACGTCATCCCGATGTGACAGACGATATATATATATGCAATTGATTGTTGTTGTCTTGACGAGGTGACAAAATGCTACATGAAACGCAAGGATTATCATCATCATTATTATTATTATTATTTGATGTGATGCTTTCAGAGCACTCGCCTTGCAAGCGAGACACCTGGGTTCAATTCCAGGCACTGGGCGAAACCTTGGGCAAGTTTCCTTACTCCACACAGAGCCTAATAATAATCCCTCCAAAAAGCAAAACAATAATAAATTGGTCATTTTCAATCCACGGCTGTTTGTGGGACATTGCTGTGCGCAATTGGCTGCCGCGTTCGCCCACAAATATACACTCAATTCACTTTACAGCGTGTTCTGTGAAGCGCTTTGAGACGTTGAGAAGACGTGAAAAGCGCTATATCAAATGCAAGGATTATTATTATTGCTGTTGACCAGCAGCTCCTGTTTGGTTACCTTTTCCAGCCCCCGCCCCCCCCCAGGAAAGAAGGGCCACTGCACAGCGGTAAACATGTGGCAGCGCGGCGCTGATGGACAGCAGAGCGCAGCCAATGGGCAGGTGGAAGGCCGCCGATTGGTCCAATGGGTGCGCGGGCAGCAGGTCCCGCCCCCCGGATTGTAACCATTTAAAACACTGCACAAAGCGCAAGTAACTGCGCCCTCACAGCCTCAACCTCACTAACTAACCACAGCCACTCACTAACCAGCCACAGCCACTCACTAACCAGCCACAGCCCCACTCACTAACCAGCCACAGCCCCACTCACTAACCAGCCACAGCCCCACTCACTAACCAGCCACAGCCCCACTCACTAACCAGCCACAGCCCCACTCACTAACCAGCCACAGCCCCACTCACTAACCAGCCACAGCCCCACTCACTAACCAGCCACAGCCCCACTCACTAACCAGCCACAGCCCCATTCACTAACCAGCCACAGCCACTCACTAACCAGCCACAGCCACTCACTAACCAGCCACAGCTCCACTCACTAACCAGCCACAGCCACTCACTAACCAGCCACAGCCCCACTCACTAACCAGCCACAGCCACTCACTAACCAGCCACAGCCCCATTCACTAACCAGCCACAGCCCCATTCACTAACCAGCCACAGCCACTCACTAACCAGCCACAGCCACTCACTAACCAGCCACAGCCCCACTCACTAACCAGCCACAGCCCCACTCACTAACCAGCCACAGCCCCACTCACTAACCAGCCACAGCCACTCACTAACCACAGCCATGCACTAACCACAGCCATGCACTAACCAGCCACAGCCCCACTCACTAACCAGCCACAGCCCCACTCACTAACCAGCCACAGCCACTCACTAACCAGCCACAGCCACTCACTAACCAGCCACAGCCACTCACTAACCAGCCACAGCCACTCACTAACCACAGCTACTCACTAACCAGCCACAGCCACTCACTAACCAGCCACTCACTAACCAGCCACAGCCACTCACTAACCAGCCACTCACTAACCAGCCACAGCCACTCACTAACCACAGCCACAGCCACTCACTAACCAGCCACAGCCACTCACTAACCAGCCACAGCCACTCACTAACCACAGCCACAGCCACTCACTAACCAGCCACAGCCACTCACTAACCAGCCACAGCCACTCACTAACCAGCCACAGCCACTCACTAACCAGTCTCAATCACCTCAGCCCCACTCGCCTCAGCCCCACCCGCCACAGCCTCAGCCCCACTCGCCACACCTCAGCCCCACTCGTCTCAGCCTCAGCCCCACACGCCTCAGCCCACTCGCCTCACCTCAGCCCCACACGCCTCAGCCTCAGCCCCACACGCCTCAGCCCCACTCGCCACACCTCAGCCCCACACGCCTCAGCCTCAGCCCCACACGCCTCAGCCCCACTCGCCACACCTCAGCCCACCCGCCTCAGCCCCACTCGCCTCACCTCAGCCCCACACGCCTCAGCCTCAGCCCCACACGCCTCAGCCCCACTCGCCTCACCTCAGCCCCACACGCCTCAGCCTCAGCCCCACACGCCTCAGCCCCACTCGCCACACCTCAGCCCCACACGCCTCAGCCTCAGCCCCACACGGCTCAGCCCCACTCGCCACACCTCAGCCCCACTCGCCTCAGCCCCACTCGCCTCAGCCCCACACCTCAGCCTCACTCGCCACACCTCAGCCCCACTCGCCTCAGCCCCACACGGCTCAGCCCCACACGGCTCAGCCCCACTCGCCACACCTCAGCCCCACTCGCCACACCTCAGCCCCACTCGCCTCAGCCCCACTCGCCACACCTCAGGCCCACCCGCCTCAGCCCCACTCGCCTCACCTCAGCCCCACACGCCTCAGCCTCAGCCCCACACGGCTCAGCCCCACTCGCCTCAGCCTCAGCCCCACACGCCTCAGCCCCACTCGCCACACCTCAGCCCCACTCGCCTCAACCTCAGCCCCACACGCCTCAGCCCCACTCGCCTCAGCCTCAGCCCCACCCGCCTCACCTCAGCCCCACTCGCCTCACCTCAGCCCCACTCGCCTCAGCCTCAGCCCCACTCGCCTCACCTCAGCCCCACACGCCTCAGCCTCAGCCCCACACGGCTCAGCCCCACTCGCCACACCTCAGCCCCACTCGCCACACCTCAGCCCCACTCGCCTCAGCCCCACTCGCCACACCTCAGCCCCACTCGCCTCAGCCTCAGCCCCACTCGCCTCAGCCTCAGCCCCACTCGCCACACCTCAGCCCCACTCGCCTCAGCTTCAGCCCCACACGCCTCAGCCTCAGCCCCACACGCCTCAGCCCCACTCGTCTCAACCTCAGCCCCACTCGCCTCAGCCCCACTCGTCTCAACCTCAGCCCCACTCGCCACACCTCAGCCCCACTCGCCTCAGCCTCAGCCCCACTCGCCTCAGCCTCAGCCCCACTCGCCACACCTCAGCCCCACTCGCCTCAGCCTCAGCCCACACGCCTCAGCCTCAGCCCCACACGCCTCAGCCCCACTCGCCTCAACCTCAGTCCCACTCGCCTCACCTCAGCCCCACTCGCCTCAACCTCAGCCCCACTCGCCACACCTCAGCCCCACTCGCCTCAGCCTCAGCCCCACTCGCCTCAGCCCCACTCGTCTCAACCTCAGCCCCACTCGCCTCAACCTCAGCCCCACTCGCCTCAGCCCCACTCGCCACACCTCAGCCCCACACGCCTCAGCCTCAGCCCCACTCGCCTCAGCCTCAGCCTCACTCGCCACACCTCAGCCCCACTCGCCTCAGCCCCACTCGCCACACCTCAGCCCCACTCGCCTCAGCCCCACTCGCCTCAGCCTCAGCCCCACTCGCCACGCCTCAGCCCCACTCGCCTCAGCCCCACTCGCCACACCTCAGCCCCACTCACTCACTCACTCACTCACTCACTCATCCACTGTCAAACTTCTCATTTTACTGCAAAATAACGGAGGAGGGTGTCGGCCGCGCAAGTGATCTGATTACTGCATTGCAAAGGGGGAAGCGAAGGCACTCACTCTCTCTCTCTCACACACACACACAGACACACAGACAGACACACGTGGTGCTGGTGGGAGGGGAGGGAGGGAGGAGGGGAGGAGGAGACCAGCCCACGGGAAGCCGCCCGATCCCGGATGGTCCGGGCGCCCGCAGTCAGCAGACAGCTGAGACGGGATGACAGACGGGACGATGGCGCAGAACGGAATCCAACCCGAGGAGAAGCCCCGGTCCCTGGTGTCGGCGCGGGAGGACGAGGGGGAAAAGATGAAGGAGGAGGCGGAGGCGGAGGAGGAGGTGGTGGTGGTGGAGGAGGAGGAGGAGGAGAGTGCCCTCAGGAGCCCAGAGCCTCAGCCTCTGGGCAGCGCGCAGAGCGGGAGCTGCACCGCGGCGGCGTGTGAGCCGAAGGCGCCCCCGGGAGCGGGAGAGTGGGACCCCTCCCGCCCCGGGGCTGAGGGCGGTCCGGTGCCCCCCGAGGGCGGCTGGGGCTGGGTGGTGATGTTGGCCTCCATGTGGTGCAACGGCTCGGTGTTCGGTATCCAGAACTCCTTCGGGCTCCTCTACGTCAAACTGTTGGAGGAATTCGGGGACAAAGACGACAGTCAAATGCAGTTTAAAGCAGGTGAGGCGCGTGTTTACATGTTTACATGTTTACCTCCCGGCAGCACCTGCCACTGCAGCAGACACTCAGTCACATTGTTTATATACATATATATATAATATGTACTTGATATAAAAACATCCTGTGGGGGGGGGGGATTCCAGTCTGTAGCTTGTCTTTTTAGATGCTGCAATGCCATGTTGTGTGTGTGTCTGTCTGTACACACGGTATTCCTCGTGTTGGCGGCGCGAAAAAAAACACGACACTAAAGCCTATTTTCTTCACTTTAGCATCCGGCCCTCCAGCGTCCTGCCACGCGACCGCGCCATCCTCCTCCACCGCCTCCTGCCTCACGAACCGCCAGCAGTACATCTGCACAAACGGCTTCTCCTCCAACTCTCACCCGGTTACCTGCGGGGTACCCCAAGGATCCATCCTTGGCCCCCTCCTCTTTCTGATCTACATGCTCCAGCCTTGGGGATGTCATCCGCAGACATGGGGTACACTGCCACATGTATGCGGACGACACCCAACTCTATTTTTCCACCTCTCTGTGCGACCCCCAGTCCCCTGATGTTCTGTCAGCCTGTCTGTCAGATCTCAGGGGCTGGATGAGCACGGATTTCCTTCAGCTGAACCATAGTCTTTGGCTCTCATCAACATCTAAAATCGCACAATTTTCACCTCCTCCACCTACCCGACCTCCCCCTAAAACTCTCCGAACCCGTATGCAACCTAGGCGTCAGGTTTGACCCCCAATTATCCTTCCTCCCCCACATCCGGTCCCTCACTAGCACTGCTTTCTTCCACCTCCGACGCATCGCCCTTCTCCGCCAATACCTCACTCCAAAAGTCGCTGATTCCGTGGTCCATGCCTTTGTCACCTCTCGGACGGACTATTCAAATGCTCTCCTCGCTGGTCTCCCCTCCACTACCATTCATAAAATCCAAATCATACAAAAATCTGCCGCCCGCAATCCCCCAGTCGTTGCCAGACTGCACTGGCTGCCTGTCCCAGAGAGGATCGACTTCAAGATCCTCACTCTTGTCTTCAAATCCCTCCACTCCTCTGCACCCCCCGACCTCTCTGAACTTTCTCCTCACAACAGTGCCCGCTGCCTTCGCTCGACCGGGACTGGCCTCTTCCTTGTCCCCCGAATCCTCCGCTCCACATTGGCAGCTGTGCCTTCAGCCACTATGCCCCGAGGCTCTGGAACTCCCTTCCTCACTCCCTTCCCCTCGCCCCCTCTCTTCCCACTTTCAGGTCTTGGCTGAAGACCTTCCTTTTCGACTGCGCCTTTGATCACCTTCCTCCCCCTTCCCCTGGCTTGGCCCCGGGATCCGTTACTATGAAGCGCTCTGAGACGGCGTCCGGCGTGGAGGGTGCTATATAAATCCAAGCTGTTGTTGTAATAATACAACTGCTTTATCTCAGTCAACGGATTGAGATGAACCATCCATTGGATCGCAGACCCAGTTCAATTTCGATTGAATTCAATGCCTGTGGCGTTTTATAGTCTGCAATTCTGTGTTTTGTTAAACCAAGATTGAAGAGCCCTTCTTTCCCCATTGATTTGCTGTGGATGTTGGTGTCATGGTATAGGTCATGCTGAGGACACAACTGGAATAACCACCACTCACTCCTGTTCTGTTAAGCCTTTCCATAGGGGCATCGATAGCGAGAGTACCTGGCGTCATATGTTTTGATCATTTTGAAAAACTCTTTTATTTCCACCAGGAAATTGGAATGATTGTGTTTGTATTGCTTTCTCTTCCCATTCAGATACTGTCTCCTGACTGTACTGTTCCATGCTCCCATGGCCTGACCTCGCTGTAATACAGATGTGCAGCAGCATTGACATGGACTTACTTTGAGCTAACTTGTAGCTGGTTAAGGAGCCAGTGGTTACACGGTTAACATCAGGAACAAACACACTCACATTTCCAGTGTTTCCCTGAATAAAAGACAGCCCAGAGCCCTGATTCATTCACACCTTTTTGAACCAAATGTCAAGTATGGTTACGTAGATGTTGCATTCAGATTCCTGTCAAAGGTGAAAGTGTGTCTGAATAATGTAGCCAAGAAAATGTGTACGTTTAACGACAAATATCACTGTATTTCATTCTCACCTGATGGATTGTCCATCTCTTGTTTTTTTCAAAAATACACACGTAACTGACAATTGTCAGTTATTGGTTGTGCCACTTTTGTTTTAGTTTAATGTAACCAATTTAATGTCACCTAATATATATAGGATACTGACATATACATATTTGTGATTTTTATGGGTTTGCAAAGTGTACTACTGCTCCAGCTGAATAAATCTCCATTCCTCCAGCATTGAAGGCTTTCTAAATGCCAGTGGAAATGAGTGCTGTGTTTCTTGCAGTCTTGTGCAATTGTAATTTGCTATGGTGATTGTATTTCAGAGACCTGTTCGATTGGTTAGTGGAGCCTTTGAAAACCAAATGCTTTGATCCACATTGTATGTAGCCAAGACCACATTTTGCATGTTGCCTGCCATCATTGGGCTGCACATATCGTCAACCCTAACCCCTACCTCCCCTTATCCCCACCTCCCCTTACCCCAGTGTGTGATGTAATTTATTTGAATATAACTTCTGGTAAATTGCCTGTTTTCTGGTGCACTGTAATGCATATACATATTTAATGGATAATCGTACCTCTGGCATACCTATTTTGTTATCCTTTTCAAAAAAGTTGACTATTTCTCCCAAATGGCTTAATGCACTAACATGAGGAACGTCACTACAAAAATAGTCACTGCGTGACTCTGAAGCACTTTGAGATGTTTCAAATTGATAAGGCTAAATTCTTCTTGGGAATGATATGGATGGCAAATTGGCTTAAACAGAGATTTGTTTATTTTCAAGGGAAATGTACATCAAGATAAGATGCATTTTTAAACTACATTGTGGGGTGAGTGATGTTTATGGCCTAGTTTCTTGCTGATGCCCATATGTTGTGAATGACGGAGTGAGGTTAGACTTATGGCACTGAATTGCTGTTGGCCTGTGTTGACTGTGTTTCCTGGCAGTCTTTACAAAGTTGTGTATTCATACATCACTTTGATAACTGCTGCCTGAACACCAATTAATGTTTAACTTAACTAAAATGTCAGTGTCTTGTTATTTCTTTAACAATGTTCAAAACAATTAAGGGTGATTTGAAAGAAACAGAATTTGTTTTTAACATTTTAAAAGCTGCACCTGCTACAGTTTGATTACATTGTACGTCAGTGTGTGAATTATTTTGAGTTTTAAAATGTAGCCAATTGAATGTTAGAGAATGAACAAATAGGATACAATAAATATTCTGACAGAGTGTGCTGGTCCACCTGAATATATCGTCTAGTAATGACAGCACGTGGAATTCATTTTTTAACTAAGTTGGAATTCTTGGTGTGTCTTTAAAACTGTTAGAATGATTGAACCACCCACAGACCTTTTTTACAATTAAAATTAAATTGCTGCTGCAGTTCTAGTACATTTTGTGCAAGGCTGACTATCGGGCGATCGTATCTCCTCAAGATGGTCTTGTGCTGCTTGATGTTGTTTTAGTTGGCTGTAGGCCTTCTGAGTTTTTAGTTGTACTATGTTAGCCTGACTGTTTTGAATCAGTACAAACTGTAGAACAACTGGCTTATTAGCATCATGCTATATTTTGGATATATGTACATATTTCTTTATGTTCACTTTTGCCTTTGTCAAGGTACAAACTGCTGCCAAAGTGAAAAAAGGAGTGAACTTTGAACTGCCAGTTATAAGAAAGCTGTCTTTAACAGTCTGCAGGAACAGTTTGGTAAGGTGTCAACTGTTAAAAATGAATTGGAATAATAGTAGACTACAGGCATTTCTATTATCTGAAGATAACACTTGTCTGCAGTTTATTTTAGGGTTTAGATCGAAACAGCAAGCAGTTAGATAATTGATGTAGTAAATAGTGCAGTGAATTGTGCATTCACCTGTAAAACACAGTCACTCCACTTTACAATACGTGGTGTGAAGCACTTTGGGATATCCTCCTGACATGAAAGGAGCTATACCAATTGCACTTATTATTATTATATTTAAAACTAGTTATTGAGGTGTTAATCAAAACTGTTCAAACATATCAATGTTTCTTAATATGAAGTGGTCCTGCAATTTATTCAGATAAGTTTAGAGTATTGTTTCCATTTAATGTATTTGCTCTTTTTGTGGAAAAGTAAAAGTAAGTTTTTTTTATCATAATACATTTTACTGTTAAATTCATTACTGGGTAGTATAGCAGCTACTTTGTCACATTCATCAAATGTTATTTTGTTGTAGAAATTTGACAGATTGCTGTCGTATAGGCAGGCCAACATTGTCGAACCCAGAGTGAGTGAAGGAAGGCAACGACACTAATCAATATTATTTTCAATCCTTACCATCACACTTTGCAAAGTTTTTATTTTAGAGATCGATAGCGTGGCTGCTGAATTAAACTCCTTTAAGGAGAACCTTAGTGCTCAAATCAGGCAAAAAAAAAAAAGCCTAATAGTTGATGGAAACTGTTTCTTCCACAAACACAGGAATTTTGTTGTTGAGCTAAGCAATCGGACAATTCAAAGTTCAGATGTCTGTGTTTGGGGAATTTTGTTTTAGCCTAAATGTATTCAAAGTGGATTATACTCAGACAGAGGATATTACCCGATATTTACGAGTTGCATTATGTGTCTTGCCTGTTGACTGAAACAACATTTCAGGGAAGAATTTATGGTTTTGTTCCTGCAAATACTGATAGCTGTGCTTTTTAGCTACTAAACACATAACTTTGTCACAAGAAAACAGAGTTCAGAAGATTGGGTTGAAGAATATTTTGAATCTTCTATCTTATGTTGTGGCGGGTTTATTTGGGGATTGAGTGGACTCTAGGATTCATTAACCTTGGTATCATGGGAAGGAGAAATTCATTACATTGGCTTCTGACAGAAAGAATTCTAAGATGATCATGATAAAATTCTTGTAGGTAGAAA